TGGAGGTTGTGATAAAAATTTGAGAAGGTTTCGCGCAAGTTGTCACGTACGATGCTTGCAAACCGAAGAATCTCCGAAGAAGTTTCATGATTTCGTGAAGAGGCCGACAAGGTGGTAAGCATCGTATGTGACAACTTACTTGAAACCTTCTCAAATTTTTATCACAGCCTCCACATATGATATCATGACATCTTGACAAGTTTCATGATTTTCGGACTTCGTTTGCTTTTTATAGAATTTGAAAACAACTCGACCCCGAGTTTGTGGTCATTTTTCGTGAACAAGATGTTCGAAATTGGTGGTCTGATCCTGGATACGGCCTCACATTATACTAAATAACATGAATATCATTTTTTCATTATTCGAATGACTAGCAGTTATAATTTGAATTATCCAAGAAAATTCAATTAAATGAAATAAATTAAAGAAATATAGAAAAAGTCCGAGAAATTTGCCACATTGGAGCATGGAGTACCAGGTATTGTATGAGGATTGCAGAAAAAGTTTAGAGGTTAAAAGTAAAAAAAAAAAGTTTGCCGAGAGGAAAAAAAAATGACACTCAGCAAATCACCGCTTTGCCGAGTGCCAGGACGTATGACACTCGGCAAAGATTTTTTTTAAAAAATTTAAAAACCCCTCTTTGCCGAGTGCCGGTCCGGGGGCACTCGGTAAAGTTTTTTTTTTAAAAAAACCCTCTTTGCCGAGTGCCAGACCAGGTGGCACTCAGCAAAGAATTAAAAAAATTAAAAAAAACTTTGCCGTGTGCCAGATCGGGGGCACTCGGCAAAGGGGGGATTTAACCTCCCGGCCCAGCCGGCCCACACACACCGCACATGCACCCGCCCCCACCCGTGCCCGCGCCAGCGCCGCCCGCGCCCGCTCCTGCCCGCGCCAGCGCCGCTGCCTCCCCCACCCGCGCCCGCGCCGCCAGAGGTGGAGGAGAAAGAGAGGAGGAGGAGGAGAGGAGGAGAGGAGGAAGGAGGAAGAGAAGGAGGAGGAAGGAGGAAGAAGGAGGAGGAGGAGGAGGCGTCCCGGCCACTACCAGCAGCTCGTCGTGGACGTCGCGCGGATTGTCCTCGGCACCAGCTCTGGTTTGATCCTTTGATTCATTTTGCTTGACCACTAACATGTCCTACAAATCCTATAGTGTGTCTTGCTTTTTTTTTTGGACGGATGGAGTAGTTATTAGTTGATGCATGCTAGTACCTGACAACTCAAGAACTTGTGGATTTTTTACAAAGATAAATATAGCTCAAAATGACATGAGATGAATTCTTCTATTTTCACCGGTTTATGCTCTACCTATTAACAATACCTTTTTACAAATTTGGACTTATGTCGTGGAAGTTAGAATGGATGTGTATGCAAAAGGGAATGGAAATGGATGGAAATGAAGAAATACAGAGGAAGCAATAGGTAGTCGGCTGCAGTAGTTCTCTGTACATGCTAAAATGGTTTTAATTAGGGGAATCTTCTAAACCAACATGAGACACAGTGAATTTTTTAGAAAGTAATCCCCCTGTGTCCCAAATCACTTCTTGACTTCTGTATTGCTTGGAAAAAAAGTAGTTCCGTATTAGTTGGAAAAAAAAGCTACTGATCTCAACGCGGAAGGAAAGGAAAAGTAGCAACCTCAAAAAGCAAGACTGCCGATCATCCGATCCATCCCATATATGCAATTAGCAGCTCCCTTTTTCTCTTTGTTTTTTTAGGATGTAGAAATTAATTCGCTGTAGTCAGAACATGACACTTTCCAATCCGCTCCCATGTTGATCCTGCGCATGCATGACTCAGCTCGTTGGTATCCTTTTCTTTTTCACCCCCTTTCCAATCCGCTCCCATCTATGGAGTGATACGAATGCTACATATATAAGTTCTAGTCAAAACTGCTATCCATCGAAATACTGTGGATCAACTCAGGAATTATTCCCATGAGTCTCTGCATTTGCACACTACAAAAAGATGGTGGGCGGTGGGAGAAGGAGGAGAAGCAGCCGTAGGAGGGAGCCGTCGCCTGCCGCACCGTCGCGTGAGGAGGAGGAGGAGGAGGAGCAGGTGCCCCAGGAGGACGCCGAGGAGGCGCAGGAGGACGCCGAGGAGGAGGCGACAACAGGGGGTTCCGCTTCCTCTAGTTCGTCGAGCGTCTACTTGCGAGGTCCCGCGAGCCTCCCTTAGCGATCGATATCTCGTGAGAGACGCCCGCTGATTCGACCCGAGGGGGAAAAGTAAGTAACTTTAGATGTTATCACTACTTTATATGATATGTTCAAAATCAAAATAGAAACTAAGAATTTTTCTTAATCACTTGGGCAGGAACTGGACAATTGTGGTGAGTGGAGGTGGTCACACATGCCAGGTCAATGGCATCCTCGGTCTTCTATGCAAGGAGCACTTCCCTGGCCTGATTGAGTACGCCGGAGTGACGGGGCCGGTCTACTCTTTTGACCTCTATGCCGTCGCCCCCGATGCTGCAAATCGGGCCCCAAGGGTATTCAACAACAAGGCGGAGCGGGTGAAGCAAGAGCTATGGGTAAGTCCTCCACGCACTACATTGCTCAATACATCGCATTCATTGGACATTCTTGAAATAATGAATGGATACATCGTGTTTGTATGCAGGATTTCTTTAGATGCCAGGACGGACATGAGGCCAGGGCGGATGCGGTGGCTACCAAATGCTGCAAAAAACTCATCATGGACATGCATTACGAGGCGCGCATCCAGGCCGTCATAACTTACTATGGGATCATCCTTGAAATGAAGGTCACCAAAAGGGACGCAAGGAGCATGACGCTGACTCGGGACCAGTACCTGCAGGTAAATACAGAACATTAATACTGATTCCTTTTGAGATTAAGTAGGCTTAATTTTATCTTCTGATATGTCATGTACTTGATGGCCTGCAGATGATTCCTTATTGGTGCGTCACGCATCCCTAGTGCTGGGAACAGATGGTGGACAAGTGGTGCTCACGCAAGTGGGAGGAGACGCACAACTTGTGCTGGGAGCGGCGTTTAATGATGCCAGGTGTAGCACACCATCAAGGCAGCCACAGCCTTAGCGGATACGCAGAAACATAGGTACGCGAATTCATTTATTTATTCTAACGCTCAATTTTGCATGATTTCTAATCATCTTGCTGTTTTTCTCGCAGTCGGCGTCACATGTTGGCCAGCCTTGCTCCATCTTCAAGGCATTTGCTATGGCCCACAAGGGCAAGGCGACGTCCGACGTCGACTATAACCCGGAGGACGGGCCCGAGGCGTACAACAATGCGACCGTCCACAACCGCCTCAGTGAGTACACATCGATGGCAAGGGAGGTCCATGGGCCACAGTATGATCTGAGCACCGAGGACCTTGATGGAGAAGTCGTCATGAGGGTGGGAGGAGGCAAGAAGCATGGGTGGTACTGGATTGGCGACGGCGTAATCGACTCGGCCGCTACTCCCAGTCTCTCCCAGATTCGAGCAAGCAGCACGAGCAGGAGCCCGGCCATACGACCTCGGCAGGACACTTCACACCACCGGGTGGAGGCACTCGAGGTTATTCCTGGTTTATTCGTCGTTCATTGGTTTTTTTCATACCTTTCCTTTGCATTATTGTAACATTGGGGTGAATATATTGTAGGCCCAACTGGAACAAGAGAGGAGGATACAGGAGCAGATGCAGGCGAAGATGGAGAGGGTGGAGTCTGAGCGGGCCGAGCGGGAGGCTGAGCAGCAGAGGATGGTGGAGATTCTTCAGTACATGCAAAGTCTTGACGCCGCTACGGGTGTACTTCCGCCACCTTCGCTATTCGCTCCACCTCCACCTCCACCTCCTCAAAATTCTACTCCTGTGAGTATAAATGTTTTAGTTTGTATGTTCATGCTTACGGTCAAACCTAGTGGAGTATGAAAGTTTTATTCATGTATGGTATATATTTATCTTTTCCTTTGTGTAGAATCAATAGGTGGCATCGAACGATCCTCATGCTTCAGCGAATCCTTCACCAAATCAGTGATGATACTTGTGGTTGTTAATGGTACTTCTATTTGCCATTGTGGTTGAAGATGATGGAGCACTTGGATTACTTGTGAACTTATTTGTGATATATTGTGAGACATGTGACGTTTGTGATATATATGTGACGTTTGTGATATATATGTGGTGTTGGTGATATATATGTGTTGTTGATGATATATATGTGATGTTGGTTATATATATCTTCTGTTTGTTTGGATGGAATGTAAAAAACAAATAAAAAAGACCGTTTTCAATCACTTTGCCGAGTGCAATGGCCAAGACACTCGGCAAAGTGACGACCTGGGAACATGCTTTGCCGAGTGCACAGGCCATTGCACTCGGCAAACATCACCTGTTTGCCGAGTGTCTTACCGGTGGCACTCGGCACAGTGCCACCTTTGCCGAGTGTTTGAATCAACGGCGCTCGGCAAAGAGGCGACCTTTGCCGAGTGCTTGACCTTGACACTCGGCAAAGCCGCCGTCACGGTGGCGCTCGCTGTCACGGCGACTTTTCTTTGCCGAGTGTCAGATTAGCACTCGGCAAAGGCTTTGCCGAGTGTCCGATAAAGTGCACTCGGCAAAGAAGTCTTTGCCGATCAACTGTTTACCGAGCGCCCTTTGTCGAGTGTAACACTCGGCAAAGGCTTTGCCGAGTGTATATCGGCCTTTGCCGAGTGCCTGAGGCACTCGGCAAAGAAGCCTTCTCCGGTAGTGTGTGACGTAAACAAGCTATAAGCTGTTAGGTTAAAACAACTATGAAATATACCTCCTCTCTTTTATTTCCCTTAAAACAACTGTAAACGTCACTCTATTTTCGCCTAATTGGAAAAGCTAAAAGCTGCCGAAAGCCAAAAATAGAGTCCAAGATGTTGTGCGAATTGTATTATTTATACTAGCAGTAGTCTGGGGTTAAAAGGTACCCTTGGCGGCAGACCTTAAGCACACCCACGTACGCTAAAAAAAGTATTGGTTACTAATGCTGGATCAATAAGCTCACACGGAGTTGACATATATTGAAGCTATAGTGTTCTTGAGGCTAAATGAAAGGGTGAATGCGTCTTCACTCTTGTACATGAAATCCATTGTTCGGGCAACATTGACTGCTACCTCTAAAAGTGCCATAGGACGTTTGTGCTCGATGCATTCTTCAACAATATCCATCCATGCTTCTTCAATTATAACTTTAAGCATCTTGTTGGCTTCCTCTACTGTCACCTCATATTGGTTCATGTAAGTTTGCACTGTGGATACCACATGCTCCTTAGCTTGTTCACGCTTCAAGGGACAAACGAGTAGGGATAGTTAGAAAATATAAAAGAAGGCAAATGTCTAATTGCACTAAATATATATAACCTTTACACTACTGATAAATGTTTTGCAAGTATCATTTACAAGAATTTTGTATGTATAGATGGAGAGATTTTCTAAACCTCATGCGACACGATGTCATTGCCGACACGCCCCACGATACAGACACCTCTAATGATTTTTGGAAAGGTGAGAGCCCACTCAACATCCTCCTTAGTAGTCACATCTCCCAATGAAATAAACCCAAGATTTGTCATATGCATACAACCACTGCTAGGCAAGGAAATTTGGAGGTGCTCTTCAACATTGGTTGGAATGAAATGTTCATCTCGCCATTTCACCTCAGCATGGTAGTTTTTAGCCATGTCAATCACCTAAATAGTTAAATATAAGGATGTTAAAATTAATTGAGAAAACTCATCATGTTTCCTTAATGTGATCTTTAGGAGCAGCTTACCAGTTTCTTGAACAATTCAGCATGCTTGTTTTTCTTGTGTCTTAACTCCTCCTCGATCATATTTGTAGTGTTACGTATGTTGATGAAGAGTGCCTTTATGTATGTTGGAAGCTGTTCTGTGATTTCTTCATCCCACCTGTCATTAGTTTTTTCAAGCAAGGTAAACTTCGGTGACGCATATATAAGTTTTGTTCATCTTAGTTACATGTAATCTGACTTTAAGAACATATAATATCTAGTAGCTAGGCAAACCTTTCCATGGCCGCAGTGAAGATATCGCTCTCCTCTGTGGTGCCGTAGTTGTCATAAAGGTCATCAATTAAGGTCATGATTATGAAAAACTTTGTCATCATTTGCCGTGGATATGAGTGATAAGGCTCAAAAAGCACTCCGAGCATCCAAAAATGCAGCTCCACCATTCTGTCCCTTGTAAAGCACAGATCTATTCGTGATTGGAAATCCTTCCACCATCTATACATTGTCAAGTAAATGTGTATTATTAGCTGGCGAAATAAGTAAGCAACTCCATTAAGTAAATTATTACCGCCAATTTACTAATACCAATGTGTGGTTTCCTTACGCTGTAAGTTCTTTCAACTCATCACAGTAGATAGCTTGCAAGATGTTGTAGTCTAGTTTTGCAAACTCCAGTATGGTCGCATCCCGTGTAGCCTTCTTCTCATATACTGAGATGTAGCGCCTTGTCTCCACTCTCTTGACCCGCCTGAACCGAGGTGTTTCCAAAGTGCACTGGACCTCGTCTTGTTGCTCTGGCCCCAAATTTTCCAGCAGCAGTAGAGATTGGAGGTGGCTCATTAGTAGGGAACAGACCTTTGATCATCGGCCAAAATGGGCTCTAGTCCCGGATTTTGTTGCGCCCGGGGCTAGAGATACCTTTAGTCCCGGTTGGTGTCTCCAACCGGGACTAAAGGTCCCTGCCCAACGGCTACTGCGCCAGACAGAGGTGGCAGGGACCTTTAGTCTCGGTTGGAGCCACCAACCGGGATTAAAGGTAGACTTTTACTCCCGGTTGGTGGCTCCAACCGGGAGTAAAGGTCCCTGCCACCTCTGTCTGACGCAGTAGCCATTGGGTAGGGGCCTTTAGTCCCGGTTGGATCCACCAACCGGGACTAAAGGTCCCCCCTTTATATCCCGACCGTCTCCTTCCTCCCCGAGCCCGAGCTCAGCACATTTTGAAGCTCACTGCACTAGTGTTCTTGCTTCCTCCCTCCATTGTTCCTCCATCCATTTTTCGATTCCTCCATTGATTCTTCAGTTGTAAAGGTTACCAATCTCATACTCTCATTTTTCACCATTGTCTTATCTTATTTTGTTCACTATATATATATGGTTCTTTATTGTGGTTTTTTTTCATTTGTAAGCAATTTGAGCTCAAAATCACTTCAAGCTTGCATATTTACAAGAACGAATGTTAAAGTAGCTAGTTGAACTTGCGGACCGTGTTGATCTCGGCGAGCATGTTCTCTGCCGAGCGGTAACGGACGTCAAGGAGGAGCTTTGATTCTACGAGGGAGAGCGGCAACGGTCGTGGAAGACCGTGTTCCCTTCCTTGTAGAATCGGAGCTCTTCCGTGGCCAAGTACGGTGCCGTCCGGTGGAGAAATGCTCGCCGAGATGATCACGTAAGCAAGGTCAACTAGTACGGATGGTTATTTATTCCCACGTCCCGATATCGTCGTAGTAGTCTGTCAATCACCGTACCCAAACGTACTATATATATAAATATAAACGATAATCGATTGTTATGTGTGTACACTCCCATTCTTCTGTTAATTTGTGGAAATGGCCCTGTTCGCTGGTCTGAAACTTGGCTGAAACTGGCTGAAAAACACTGTTTCGGCTGAATTGTTGTGAGAGGAAAACACTGTTCCGGCTGGAAAAAGAAGCTGAACAAGCCGAATATGGGGTAAGCCGAACAAGGCCAATATCATGTGAATTATTTACCTGCCGCAGTAAAAAACGAGAACACAATGACCATGGCCACGGCCATGAAAAATGCCAATGACACAACACTAGCAACTTTCTCGACAAGCAGAGTAGTGTTAAACGCTCTGGAAACCTTTAAACTTCAAGCTTGCATATTTACATGAAGGAAGGTTAAAGTAGCTATTAAAAACTAGTATTCACCGTTTATTTGTAGCATGCATAGCACACTTCATTGTTTAGAGATATAGAGAATTTTAGAGTTTTTTTAATTTTATTTGTTTATAAAATGAGAAATTTACAGTGTATTAAAAAATGAGTATAGAGAGTAGATGGCAACTGCTTCCGGGTCCTCGGCCTCTCATGGGTTTCCAAAGTGACTTAGGCCGGGCCTCCCACTCATTGCATGCGACAAGTGTTGTGATGAGACAAAGATTGTGATGGAGTACCGAGTGAAGGAGGGTCCCAACAAGGGTCACATTTTCTACAAGTGTCTGAATCGCAATGTGAGTTATTTTATCGTATTTAATGACTATGGTTAGTTTATACCTATTTTCATGATGGTTGTGATTAAAGTTCTAATTTTCTGTTTTAATTTCAGTGGGATGGCACTGGATGTTCAGGCTTCTACTGGGAGGAAGAGTATGTTGAACTCGTACAAAAATATCTTGCACAACAGGCAGATATGGTGGCTAATGAGGTAGTGATCCAGCCGAAGAAGCCCAAAGATGTTGAACAAACGGGGGATTTGTTTATTTTAGTTGGGATTGGTCGCGAAATCCTTGTGCTGCTGAAGTGCATTTTAGCTTTAGTATGTTTAGTGGTAGTTGGGATTGTCTACGTTGTAGCGAGGATTTCTTAAATTTATAGCTTTTGTGGTGGTATGCATGTTGTATAATTAACTAATTATATTCTAGGTTTTAATATGGTATTTATGTCATGTAATGCAGATGAGTAGGCATTGGATGTATAATGCTGATCGTCGCTCCCAAGAGTTCATGGACGACGTGCATTCTTTGTCACGTGCGGCCGAGGCAAACAAACGCGATGGTTTCATGTGCTGCCCATGTGTCGTATGTAAGAATACGGTGGAATATCCTTGCTCAAGGACTCTTCATTCACACTTGTTCAAGTCGGGTTTCATGCCAAACTATATTTGTTGGACGAAGCACGGAGAAACCGGCGTTGTAATGGAAGAAGGTGAAGAAGAACAATGGGACGACAATGATATTATTCCCGATGGTGCGTGCTTCAATGATACTGCAATAGGAGAAGCTGAAGAAGAGGTAGCCGCAGAAGATGAGTCTGCTGATGATCTTTGTCAGGTCATTCGTGACGCACAAAGAGAATGTGAAAGTGAAAAGGAGAAGATCAAGTTCGAGCGGATGCTTGAAGATCATAAGAAATTGATGTACCCAACTTGTGATGCAGGGCAGAAAAAGTTGAGAACCACACTAGAATTGCTGCAATGGAAGGCAAAGAATGGTGTATCTGACAAGGAATTTGGAGAGTTACTAAAAATTCAAAAGAAGATGCTTCCGAAGGACAATGAATTGCTCGCTACTACCTACGAAGCAAAACAAGTTGTCTGTCCTATGAGGCTAGAAATCGAGAAGATACATGCATGTTCTAATGACTGCATCCTCTACCGTGGCAAAGAGTACAAGAAATTGAATGCGTGCCCGGTATGCCATGCATCGCGGTATAAGATCAGGCGAGATGACCCTGGTGATGTTGAGGGTGAACGTCCGCGGAAGAAAATCCCTGCCAAGGTTATGTGGTATGCTCCTATAATACCACGCTTGAAACATCTGTTCAGAAACAAAGAACATGCAAAATTATTGCGATGGCACAAAGAAGACCGTAAGGTAGACAATATGTTGAGACACCCTGCTGATGGGTCCTAGTGGAGAGCAATCGACAGAGAATTCCCAGAGTTTGCAAATGACGCAAGAAACTTAAGGTTTGCTTTAAGTACAGATGGTATCAATCCTTTTGGAGAGCAGAACAGTAGTCATAGCACTTAGCTTGTTACTCTAAGTATCTACAACCTTCCTCCTTGGTTATGCATGAAGCGGAAGTTCATTATGATGCCTGTGCTCATCCAAGGCCTGAAGCAACCTGGCAATGACATCGATGTGTACCTGAGACCACTTATTGATGAACTTCTCATTTTGTGGAATAAAGAAGGTGTATGTGTGTGGGATGAGTACAAACATGAACACTTTGATCTGCGAGCATTGTTGTTCGTAACAATCAATGATTGGCCTGCTCTAAGTAATCTTTTAGGACAGTCAAACAAGGGATATAATGCATGCACACACTGCTTCGGTGATATTAGAGGTGTATTCTTGAAAAAATGTCAAAAGGTCATGTACCTTGGCCATCGTCGATTTCTTCCTGCAAATCACCCCGTAAGAAAGAAAGGCAATAATTATAAAGGGAAGGCAGACCACCTGACCAAGCCTCGCAACCGAACCGGTGAGGATGCACTCGATATAGTCAATGATGTGAAAGTCGTCTTTGGAAAAGGACATGGCGGCCAACGTGTTCCGAACGACACTAACGGTCACGCACCCATGTGGAAGAATAAGTTCATATTTTGGGAGCTACCCTATTGGCAAGTCCTTGAGGTCCATAGCTCGATCGACGTGATGCACCTGACGAAGAATCTTTGTGTGAACCTGCTAGGCTTCATGGGTGTGTATGGAAAGCCTAAGGACACATTTGAAGCATGACAGGACCTGCGTTGTTTGAGAGAAAGAGACAACCTGCATCCAGAGAAGACAGATGATGGACGCCATTACTTACGTCCTGCCAGCTACACTCTAAGCAAAGAGGAGAAGGAAATCATGTTTGAATGCTTAAACAACATCAAGGTACCATCTGGATTCTCCTCGAATATAAAGGGTATTATAAATGTGCCAGAGAAGAAATTCTATAACTTAAAGTCCCATGACTGTCACGTTCTCATGACGCAATTACTTCCAGTTGCATTAAGAGGAATTCTACCTCCAAATGTACGTCTAGCCACCGTGAAGCTATATGCATTCCTCAATGCAATTTCTCAGAAGGCAATTGATCCAACTGATCTAGCTAAACTACAGAATGATGTGGTTCAATATCTCGTCAGCTTTGAGTTGATGTTCCCTCCTTCCTTCTTTGATATCATGACACACCTCCTAGTTCACCTAGTCAAGGAGATTTTCATTCTCGGTCCTGTGTTCCTACACAACATGTTCCCCTTAGAGAGATTCATGGGAGTCCTGAAGAAATATGTTCACAACCGTGCTCGCCCAGAAGGAAGCATCGCCAAGGGCTATGGAACAGAAGAAGTCATTGAGTTCTATGTTGACTTTATTCCCGACCTTGATTCAATTGGTGTTCCTAAATCGAGACATGAGGGGAGACTAAGCGGAAAGGGGACACTAGGGAGGAAAACATATATTGGTACGGAGGATGATTATTTCAATAAAGCGCACTACATAGTTCTACAGAACTCATCTTTGGTAGATCCGTATATTGAGACACAAGGATCTCTTACGATCCGAGTTTCCAGGGAAGACTGAAGCTTGGATTACGCGTAAGCACATGGAAACTTTCGGCGGTTGGTTGCGAAAAAAATGTCAAGGTGATGAGAGCATCCATGAGCAACTGTATTTATTGACTATGCAATCATCATGGCATATCATCACGTACAAAGGGTACGAGATAAATGGGAACATATTCTACACAGTAGCCCAAGATAAAAGGAGTACCAACCAAAACAGTGGTGTCCGCATAGATGCCATAGACCCGAATGGGAATAAGCAGACATCTTATGGCCG